GGTCCACTAATTTTCTTATAAACTGCAGTCTTACTGACTGTAGAAAAATCTGGTTTGTGCCACCTGAAAGATTTGCTGTAAGGAAACCTATTTGCATTGCAGAATTGATGAAAAAATTCTGCACGAAAAATTCAGTAAAAACAAAAATGTTGAAATTTGAATTTTTTTAAAAATGTTGGATTGGTAAACGTTAATAACTACAAACTCGTGGAGCTTTGCAAATTCCCTCAAAAGTTCTGTATTCAATTATCTTGGAGCGATATATACACCTTTTTGGATTGCGCTTCTGGAAGGCCCAAAATTTTGCATTTTGTTGAAACTGATGTCGATGAAGGGGGGCACGTTCAAATTTTCCAGGAAATACGTCTAGTCCTTGACTTTCGTGTCAGTTCTTTAAGGTTCAATGCAATCAGTTTGCTTTATGTTACCAGCAGACAACTTCCTCAGTTTGGTAATTTCAATTATGTCCTTGTTTCCTAATGCATATCTTGGGAGAAGGAAACAGGGCTTCTGGAAGGCCCAAAAATTCTGTTTTTTCCAGGAAATCCGTCTGGCTCTCGAGTTTCGTGTCAGTTCTTTAAGGTTCAATTCGATCAGTTTGTTGCAGCTGACAACTTCCTCAGGTTGGTAATTTATATTATATCCTTGTTTCCTAATGCACATCTTGCTGATATGCATTTGATTTACGCGCACCTTCCAACGACTTCATCAGAGGCTGAGGAAAACTGGTTCTTTCACTCGAAGAAAGAGGGAAGACAATCAGAGGATTGATATAGATGAGGAAATTTTGCGTCCTGTTAATCGTGATCCTGAAACCAGTACAAGTGCGTTATGTACAGACCATGGTGTTTTATAATAGAGAGGTTGGGATATCTTCCGTCGGAAGGTTGTACCGTAACCATTTTACGAGGGTGATTGATGTAGATGAGGAAAAAATCAACTCACTTCTGGAGGTTCCAAACTTTGCACCATCGTAAAAGAGTGAAAGAACCAGTTTTCCTCAGAATCTGATGAAGTCGTTGGAAGGTGCGCAAAACGAGCTTGGTATTCTCCCAAGATATGCATTAGGAAACAAGGACATAATTGAAATTACCAAACTGAGGAAGTTGTCTGCTGGTAACATAAAGCAAACTGATTGCATTGAACCTTAAAGAACTGACACGAAAGTCAAGGACCAGACGGATTTCCTGGAAAATTTGAACGTGCCCCCCCTTCATCGACATCAGTTTCAACAAAATGCAAAATTTTGGGCCTTCCAGAAGCGCAATCCAAAAAGGTGTATACATCGCTCCAAGATAATTGAATACAGAACATTTGAGGGAATTTGCAAAGCTTCAGGAGTTTGTTGTTATTAACAGTAGCCAATCCAACATTTGAAAACAATTCCAACTTTCAACAGTTTTGTTTTTTCATCCACCGACGTCCCCTGCATTTTTTATTCATTCTCTATTTAGCATGTACTATAGCCCAATTTTATGGGGTATATGCTGGACCACCCTGTATATTATATAATCGAAAATATACTATAATTATAGAGTAACTGGCGATAAGTGTCGAAAATTTCAGGAGGTGTTTCTACTCGCCGTATGCAACAAAAAATTTACTATAAACCCCTGTCCAAATCTCAACGGTAAAGAAGTAATTTCAGGTTTTGGATGTTTTTTAATTTTTCGACACTAAATTGCTTATAAACTTCAGAATTATTGACTGTAAGAAAATCTGGTTTATGCCACATGAAAGAACGTTAAATTTGCTGTAAGGAAACATATTTACAATGCAGAATTGATGGAATAATTTTGCATGAAAAATTCAGGAAAAAATAAAAATGTTGAAATTTGAATTTTAAAAAAAATGTTGGATTGGAATGGTTAATAACTACAAACTAGTGGAGCTTTGATAATTCCCTCAAAAGTTCTCCATTCAATTAGCTTCCAGCGGTATACCCACCTTTTTGGATTGCGCTTCTGGAAGGCCCAAAAATTTTGCATTTTGTTGAAACAAACTTGTGTCGGTGAAGGGGGGCACGTTCAATTTTTACAGGAAATCCGTCTGGCCCTTGAGTTTCGTGTTCAATCCAACATTTCACAAAAATTCCAAATTTCAACATTTTTAATTTAACTAGTTTTGGTGGTGCGCTTGACCAATTATAAAAGGAGGGAAAATTCAAAAGGTGGGGTTGAAATGGGAGGTTAATGCCCGAGTGGATCAAGGTCACGGTAGCTCAAGTGGTAGAGTAGAGGCGTATCTAGCCGAAGGTCGTGGGTTCGAATCCCGCTCGTGACACTGACTTTTTTATCTCAACTAAAAACCTTAATTAATGGGAAAATAATTAAATTTTTCCTGCAGAATTTTTTCATCAATTGTGCAATGTAAATATGTTTCCTTACAGCGAATTTAACGTCCTTTCAGGTGGCACAAACCAGATTTTTCTACAGCCAGTAAATCTGAAGTTGATAAGCAATTTAGTGGACCTAAGTCGAAAAATTAAAAACACCCAAAACCTGAAATTACTTCTTTACCGTTGAGATTTGGACAGGGGTTTGTAGGAAGTTTTTTGTTGCATACGATGAGTAAAAACACCTCCTGCAATTTTCGACACTTATCGCCAGTCACCCTGTATATATACATATATATTTTTTTGATATATGTTTTAATATTAAAGTGTCAGGTGGACATAATAGATTATTTAAGAATTCAAGAAATAATTATGTCAAGGTACAGGTGTAGATTCATTTATACGATTCTTTATTCGTTCGACATCTTTGATTTAATGTAATTTTAAGTTTTATTTGCTCTTTTCTTACGTTATACGTTGATTTGTTAAAATAATACTAACAGGAAATGAAAGTTGGGTCTGTGAATTTGATAGTTTAGTTGCGCATCCTTAGGCGCCCATTCATGCCGGATTGCTTTGAAATTTCGTCCGATGATTCAAAAATATTTTCATCACGTCATACCTGTTGTTCCGTGTTGTTTGATGATCGTTGATCCGTCTATTCTCGCTGCATAATTGGGCAAATGTGGTAGAATTGACTGGAAAAAATGCCAACCAGCAATCTCACAGAATGAAATCTAAGCACGTGCAAATAAAAATTATTGTACGATGCAGTTATTGTATATAACCAGGTCGTTATTCCCCAAGTTTTAAGCGGAAGTGTTTAAAGACGAAAATCTTCGGCTCACCGTTCTCCAGGATTGTGCTAATCGCCCCTGTAGGCCCACTAATACGAGAATAATTTGTCACGAGTAATTAGCGCAGTAATCAAGGTGACGTGTCTCCCAAAGACAAGAGGAAGTTTACAACAATTAAAACAGGAGCATTAAGTCACCATTAGGATTCCGGCATCGGCCTCGACAAAGGGCCTAGGCGAAGCTAAAACGCCTCCCTGCGGGGCCCTTTGTCCCGGCCCTTTTGCTCTTACAGAACCCGTAAGTGTTTGTAATGCACTTGCAATGTCCGTGGTTCCTATTAATAAAGAACTGAAAACCTTTGCTATCGGATTATTCGAAAATATTAGACAATTTAGCAATTGACTTATCATTTCTCCTATAATGTTTCTTCGATGTCTATAATCCGGATTTTTTTCCCCGAGCGTCCAACTGCCCTATTAGGTCACTTATTAGAAAATAAAGAGTATGTGGTTAAAAAGGAAAAATTACCTTATGAATGGACGGTGGCATCTGAAGGACTAATCGAGAAAGTCGGAGTTTTTAAGAACAATATCTTTGCTTACTGTCAATTGTTGTTGTTTCGTCAATACCCTGTATAAGCACAGTTTTTTCAATATGGAAATGAGATAACCGTTCTTGAGGTTTCTTTTACTTTTCTGATAATAACACCATTATATTAAGTGGTCTGGTTGACCGATTTACATCTTTCAGTTAATTAATTTTTTTGTTTTGGATGAAATGGAAAAGTTAGTGTCACGAGCAGGATTCGAACCCACGAAATTAGGGTTTCGCGGGATTCGAACCCAAGACCTTAGGGTTTCGCGGGATTCGAACCCACGACCTTAGTTTTTCACGGGATTNCGACCTTATGGTTTCGTGGGTTCGAATCCGCCTCGTGACACTAACTTTTCCATTTCATCCAAAACCTTACGTAAAAAGTCTAACAATAACGTTTAGAAACATTAAAACCTAGAAATCTCACTATCTGCTACTTTTCTCTTTTCTCATATGACCTTTATCATTCCTCTATATTTTTATATGTGTTAATTAAATGGTGGCTGGGTTTCTTTTTATTTATGGGTGTACTCCATTTGTGTTCCAATTTGTCTGTTTTACCAGTTTTCTTAATGGGTATATGACAGCTTGGTCATTTCAGCCCCGAGCGAAATAAAACAACACACATTCAATACGCATTCACAGAAATAAATACATTCACACCTATGTACATTGCGTTCATTCCATTCGGTAGATGGAGTACTCAATTATTCCTCCTTCGACCTACACAGAATAACAAACTAATATAAGTGGGATCGATGGGTTACTTTTATAAATAATCCGCTATGAGCCCCTCCCCATTCACTCTAATAAATACACTCATTCATACAAAACACATTTCGACGGCTACATATAATTTAAAAAATCCGAATTCCCCTAAAAAGCGGAACAGGGGACCCTGAAACTCTCTACGAGAACTATTCTCAAATCCGCCGGCATACCTACGCTCTCTCAGTATGCAGCCAAGTCATGACACGCCTCTATTATGTTGCACATCGAGCATGTGCATAAAGGGCACTTGCGCGGGGTATTACTGTTCCTTTGTACTTTCTAGTTATTCCATGATTTTTCGTTCATCTGTAGGTTCATTCATTTATTTATTAGTACAGTTTTTATTAGTATTAGTATTTAATTTAATTATAGACATGTATTGTTCTTTGTAGATGTAAATAAAATTCATGAATTCAATGCTGAACCTCTTGGGGGTTAGTATATTTTTTAAATAAGCATTTAGTCCTTTTTTTTTCAATTAATAATAGTAATAAGCGATTGTGTTAAGGCTGACAACGGTAGTTTACTGACGATAAAATAAGCCAAAGCATGGGTACTTTTGATCCGATATTTGTGTGGTATCGATACTTCGTCGGTGTCGGACTACCCTAGCCGTATGCTTGCGGATAGGTCTACAATCTTCATCCTTAATGTCTTATTTATTTAATCGGCACCAGTTCGCAAATGCAGCCAGGACCTCTTGAAGAAGAATACAATCACTCCCACAATTCACGTCGTTAAATAGTTTTAAATCGTCAGCAAGCAGCGCTAAATGGCTAGTCGTAAGACCCTAGAAACATCGTTGAAGGAGAGCAAAATTAAAAATTTTATGGTGAGGAACACCTGAGACAATACGAACAACAACAGAATGAATACCTTTATATAACTACTTACGAGGAAAATACCAGATGCCATTGAACTATATTGGTATACTCAGCGGATGACCTGCTTCAAAAAAATTTCCAGAATGCCATCTGGACCCACATTACCATTAGATTTTAGAGCATTTAATTTTTTCCCACTAAAGCCGCACTAATATTAATACCACTCAGGTCCATATTAAAAATTATTGGAGGTCCGCTATAATCATTGTTGGAGGTAGAGTGATAAAATTATCCTTGAAAATATTGACGATATCTGAAGATCTCTCTTTTCATGATGCATAAAAACTGGAAGGGAATTGTAGCGATCCTTATTATTTATGAAAGACCAGAAATATTTTTTATGATCTAAAGAACCTAATTGAATATTATGTACCTGAATTAATAACACGAAATTTTTAGTTCGGACTGTTCTCCCAGGTAAAAATTTTGTAAAATATTTTGTGAGCAGTCTTCTTTTTGGAAATAATTTGATAAACTCCTTATGGTTTCAAAATAAGGGGAATGTGAATAAAATGTCATTTTTATTTTTACAAAAAATATCAAGAATCTTAACAATTTCATAAAAGTTCGCAAGGCGATTTTTGATCACAATATATACCGTTCCAGGTAAAAAGACTAAAAAATGTGCTCCTCTAATTTCTACTTTATTTAGCCTTCGTATTTCCTCCTGAGTAATAAATTTTTCTCCATCAACCCCCTGTCGCTATCACATCACTGCAGCTTATATAGTATATCTATACGTCTGACTATATGACCACCCCATTACGATCTTTACTGTGNGATGCCTCCGTTCCTACCGATGACCGTCCCGGATCTGATCGTGACATCGCGGACGTCTGTAGAGGAAGGGAGTTTCGCCGCTTTTTCCCATTCCTTGGAAAGACTGCTCATAAAATCGAAACTGGGGCCGATCGGGGAAAATTCGTCGTAGCAGACAATATCGTCAGGCTTGTAGATGCCGACCCCCGAGATGGTGACGAACACCTTGGGTTTTTTCTTCCCGTTGAAAATCGCATGGGACAGCGTGAGGTTGGTGGTGATCCTGCTCTTCCAGATTTCATCTTTGTACTCCGGCGTCCATTTGCACCTCCAGTTATCGTTTATCACAGCGTCGACGTCTTCCGGGATCCCTGCTGAGCTTACGTCCAACCATGTTATCCGACCTGGTCCTTCTTTGTTCGACACCAATGTCACTCGATAACATTTGCTTTTAAAAAGAAAATGGATCCCCGTACCAATGAAGCCGGTACCATCGCTCAACAGAACGTGACCACCCTGTGCCATTGCAAACCACCATTTAATTTTTTTTTTTGTACTAAGTGTATAGACTTAAACTTGGAATTACATGGTGAAAAAAATGTTGTGTCATATGGTAGACATTTTATAATGATCTAACAGTCTGTTCTCTCACATTTGTCCCAATCATTAAAATAAATCCATTTTTATATTTTAAAAAATATCTTAAAATTGCGAAAATATCTGACTGACTCTTTAAATATTATTTCCATTTTTCTGTTAAAATCCATAAACGCATGTAAACATCGTCTGAACAGTTCCAATACCCGCATTAAAATCAGGCAAAAGATTCCAAACCAGATGTTTCCAAGCTCTCACTAGGCTGAATGAATTAACAAACCCTCGAGGATATTCCATAGCCACTATTGTTTTGTAAATTATTTTCTACTAATAATTTACTGTCCAAAAACCTCTGAGAACTTAACTCTGAACATAACGTTTTTGCAGAAAAAATGGTTTGATAACCAAATTTTTAAAAATTATTATATTATAAATTTTTATTTTTAATGGATTAATTTTTTGATGTTTTCTGTCCGATTACAACCCAAATATTTGTGTATCTTTTCTCTACCTCCCTATCACTGCGTGGCTAACTTCTTTAGTTTTTCATCCTCCTCGCTGTTTTTTCACTGTATCCTATTTCTTTTTCCCCACTACTTCTCAACGTGTTTCTTTCTCTCTCTCTCTCTTTCTCTCTTGTTTGCTCTTATCCTAAATTTTTCTTGCTCACTTCTCTTTTAATATTTCTCTCTCGTCTGTAGTCTCTCTCTCACATTTTCTCGCTCTTTTTGCTAGCCTCTATCTGTCCGTCTGTCTCTCTCTCTCTCTCTCTCTCTCTGTCTCTCTCTCTGTCTCTCTCTCTCTCTCTCTCTCTCTCTCTTTCTTCGTAAATATTTTTATTCTTAACCACACTCTCTTTCTCACTATCTCACCATCGTTCTCTTAATATTTCTCTCACTCTTCGTAAATATTTTTTATTCTTAACCACACCCTCTTTCTCACCTTCGTTCTCTTAATATTTCTCTTTCTTTCCTTGTCTCCCTCTCACATTCTCTCGCTCTTTTTGCTAGTCTCTGTCTGTCTTTCTCTTTCTCTCTCTCTCTCTCTCTCTCTCTCTCTCTCTCTCTCTCTCTCTCTCCCTCTCTCTACGTCTTAGTTCTTGTGTTTCTCCCTAGAGTAGTATATCTTACCGTTCAATTTTCTCTGTCCATTCAGATTGACTGTTTCTAACTGAGTTTCTCTATTTCTCCCTCCTTTATCATTTTTCATTGTTTCACTCTCCATGTCAATTTTTTCTTGCGAGAGAGGGAGAGATTACATACAGAGATTTGAAGAAAAAGTTTTTTTTTTTTTTAATCCGCAATCATCAACTGCAATGTTGGTTGAGGAGAGAAGGAAGCAAATGTGTCGCAATTAGATATGGCTATATTTTGTCGCAGGCCTGTTATCTGCGGTGAGCGTTGATACATCCTGTTCGTCCAATCATGCAACGTTGCGGTGGACCGAAAATCGGTTGAAACCGAAAGGAAATAGCAGAGTTTAAAGAGAGCTTATAAGCTCGTCTAATCCAATAAGGGGGCGAGCTCGCATACCGTAAAACCGCATTAAGCTCTAATTTTTCTGTTCTTTTTTCTCCCTTGCCTTTATTCTCATGAGTGGAAATATTTGATACAGTCTGTTTCAGTTAGCCACACGGCCAATAAAAACCCAGGATGGTAAATAACATAGATTATGCAGCCGAGGAGGTGGTCCTAGTGGCAGATACGTGCCCCGGACTATTCCCAGAGTAATTGAAGGCCCCTTGCAGTTCCCATACACTCTTAGGAAAAGACGGGTCATTAAAACCAATAATACCTCTCTTCCGAAGCTATTAAATGAGCAATCCCGGCTCGCGGTGATTAACTCTCCATTTACTCCGCACGAACTCGACGAACAGCCCCCTCGCGATAATTACGCCCAAAATGACAACCCCGGCATTTTGAAAGATCGTTCAAGATGGCGGCGTCGTTCCCGAAGGAAATGAGATCACGATCGTTTCATAAGCCGCTCCTCCTGGGGTTTGTAATGTGTAGTTTGCCGGATGGGATCGTTCTCGATTCATTAGCCGGCTCCTCCCATCCCATCGCATTCCTCAACCGGCCGACGATCAAGAAGATGATGATCATTCTCGATGACCGTGTCACACCTGAGCGTCTCCTCTTATTCCCAAACTACCTCTTTTACCAAAGATTCTCTCAGATGTTCACTATCACGTAGTCCATCGTCATAATCGTCTTCAACCGTTGTACCATTCAAAAGAACAAATTTGGAAGTTCCAGTTATTCTAAATGGTCAATCAGCATGATAAACAATTAACATTACTTGTATGTTACTACAAGCATAATTAAAAGATAAGACATATTCCTTTACTTTTTTTACTTCATTTATTTTCATTTAAAAACTGTACATGTATTATACGCAACCAGCATATTGGATTTCAATTTATGATTGTGGCATTACTGGCTTTAAAGAGAAAGCTCCCATAGGTAGCCGCTCTGGATTAATAAAATTATATTAATAATTTAATAAGTCTCCTATCCATATTCTTTTCAGTCGCTTAAGTGGTAATTATGGGGATGGAGTAATCGTATTTGTGTGAAAACGTCTGAAATACACCGACAGGCGAAAAATTCCACCCACTTGTAATATAACTCGATTTGTATATTTTTACATATTAATCAAAGTTTCACGGTTTTTAACGTTTAATAATTGAGTCTCTAAAAAAGTAAAAAAATGTAAATTGCTAAGGAAAACAAAAGACGGACAGATAAACTTTGTTTTAGATTCACTAGTTTTCGTGGTCCTCTTGACCAATTAATATCTTTCAATTAAATAAGGTTTTTAGTTGAGGTAAAAAAGCCAATGTCACGAGCGGGATTCGAACCCACGACCTTCGGCTAGATACACCACTGCCCTACCATTTGAGCTATCTTAACTTCGATCCACTCGGACACTAACTTCCCATCTCAACCCCACCTTTTGATTTTTCCCTCCTTTTTGCCATTTTTCAAATGTCGTGTAATATGATGGAAAATTCAAAAGGTGGGGTTGAGATGGGAAGTTAGTGTCCGAGCGGATCGAAGTCACGATAAGTCAAGTGGTAGAGTAGCGGCGTATATAGCCGAAGGTACGAGAAAACATATCTTAGGGTTATAAGCAGGGAGAGTTAGAGATTTGTTTCAAAAATACAGTTGCGATTTGGACAGGGATTTATAGGAAGTTTTTGTTGTACATGGTGAGTAGAAACACCTGAAATTTTCGACACTTATTGCCATTCACTCTGTATAATTATAGTATATTTTCGATTTTATAATATACAGGGTGGTCCAGCATATACCCCAAAAAATTGGGCTGTAGTACATGCTAAATAGAGAACGGATAAAAAATGCAACCAATCCGGTCATCCAATTTTCCTTTTTTTCGAAAAATCCCCACCTTAAACCATAAATTGTCATTGTTTCAAGATCTATAACATCAGTTCCAATTTATAATAACATTTTTGAATTTTGTATAAAATTTCCTTTAAGAAGGAGCTATTTTTAAGCTTATCCAATGGCGATGTATGTTTATGAATTCAACACAATATGAACAATTTTAAAATGGAGAATCATTCGATAAATTTCTACAAATAACTGTTTTTGTAGGGGTGCCAAACATCATGAAAAATTGTTGATAATAACCTTTCTTGTAGTTTGCTCGAAGTTTCAAAAACTCAACCCTTCAACGGTAAAATCAACATGGAATGTTAAAAAAAAAAGTGGTTCAAACTTGTAAATTTAACACATTCAGAAGAGGAGTGAACTGTGCAATTTCGAAAATTTTAAACAGCATTGTTGATGATGGAATATTTAAAAAAGGAATGAATTATATAAGATTATTAAATCAAACCTCTTTTTTTATTAAATAAAATACTTAAAAAAAAGACAACAAACATTCAAAATCGTTTTCTCATTCGTTCAACGGGAAGTTTTGCAGGTAATATTTTCTCGAAAAATCGGACTCCCTTATTATCTATCCTTATCGTACATAACAGACGCTCTATATCATAAAAAATGCCAATTTATGACTTAAGGTAGGGATTTTTCGAAAAAACACGTAAAAATTCGAATCTTCCGACCGGATCGAAAAGTCCGGGTAGTTGCATTTTTATCTATTTGGGATGTACTATAATCCAATTATTTTGGATTTATGCTGGACCTCCCTGCATAATAATAAAAAAAGCGTACCATGTAAGAGAGGCTTCTCACATTTGACCAACAAGGATTAGACCCGAAATGCATATTGACACATAAATATTTTAAGTCCTACAGTTTAAGAAAATCTGATTGGATATTTCTTAATTTATAGCTTCTGTTCGAACAGATATTTGGCAAATTAATTCAGTCATTTTTTTATATGGAATGAATATGCATATTTGTATAATTAATAAATTATAGTT